CTTGCAATGCCTGTCATTCTGGTCTTCTAAATACATACTGCTTGTCATGACATACTAGTTATTGCCCTAGTGTCTCTGAGATAAATGTTTATTTATTTATTTATTTATTTATTTATTTTATTTATTTTTTTGCGGGACTGGGGCTTGAACTCAGACCCTTGCGCTTGCCAAGGAAGCGCTTATTCTACTGAGCCATCTCCCCGGCCCCCTGAGCCATCTCCCCGGCCCCCAATGTTTATTTAAAAATTGGGTAATTAATGAATAATAGAGACAAGAAAAAAGTCACAGGACTGTCCTGCTACAATGCTGTATATGGTTAGATTTTTAAATTTCTGTGTGAAAATATATAATTGTTTATTCGTATTTAAAAAAATCTTTTACTTTTTATTTTTTTCTTCATATTCTGTAGGGACTTAAAGGTTACCATATCAATACTTGATGGAAAATACCTGTTCCATTTTATGCCTAAGATGTTTGATATTCAGACAGATGGTTAGGTTAAACCCAACTGCATATGTTGTAGGGTAATAATAATCTTCTCTTCTGGAGGGTTAGCAACCTAAGTTTGCAAACCAAACATTAGATAAAAAGAAGGACTGCAAGGTCAACCAACATTTTTTTCCCTAGTCTTTCAAGGTCAGTGAAGACTAAGAACATAGGAGAATCTATACTGTAATATCATGTAACTCAGTTGTGTCTCAAATTTTCTGATCAGGGAGATTATGCGGCCACAGAACCATGTAATTGATGATGTAGAGTGTGTCTAAGGGGAGTCACATGGAGAGAAAACATTCTCTCAGGCTTTCACAGAGAGAAAATTGGTCAATCAATGGCTGTGATTCATCCACATGGATCACACTCACAAAGGATCTTCAAAGTGTGGCACAGGGTTTCAAGATAAATCCTGAGGGGACTTGACTGACCTTATGAGATACAAAAGTTACATTTCTTTTTATATAGGTCTTGCTTTTTCTTTGTCTTAACCATCCAGCAAAAAGATACAAATATGAGTTATAAGAGGTGAAACCATGTTGGTATGCTGAGCTGTAAAGGACTCAGGTCAACAACTTCTGATATTGCTAGTCCTGTGGATGACTCACTACTATTATGGACTACTGGGCTATATTGGAATATTTTGCTGAATTCTCATACCTACAATTTTTAAATAACGATGGAATACCCTTCTCTGACAAAACTAAACAAAAAAAGGCGATGCAAATGAATGACCATTTTGTGTCCGTATAATCAAAATAGTTATGATAAATACATTCTCTTAATTCAATGAATAAAAAGATTTGTTCTAATTGTGTTTGTGGACAGGATTTCATGTCTGCATCTTGTTCAATGAATAACCACTGAGATAACAATGTGTGATGTATTTATTATTGAAACTATCCTACTGTTTGGTTTTGAAGCTCTTTCATAGTTATTTGTTTCTCAATAAAATTATTTAAAAATTCATATCTAAATCTTGACATCAGGCTATATGTCATGAAAAGACAAGTGAATAAGAAAGTGTGGTATTGACACACAATGGGCCACTACTGCTGCACAAGGAAGTATATACTTTGTGCTATCTGGAGGAAAATGAATACACTACCTTGAGCCCATAATGTTGAATGAATATCAGACACATAAGCTCTTTTTTATAAGCTTTAATATCATGTGGTTTTGTATACATAAGAAATAATGTAAATATAAATGAAGAGCAAAATATAGATATATAATAGAAAATATATAGAACTTTTGCAAATGGGAAGGAGACCCAGAGATAGAAACAGGGGACAGGGAAGGGAGACACAGGGGAGTAAAAGAGTGAAGTCGTGACACGTGCATGGACTAACTTGCCACAAGAATGTGATCATCACACACACAAGGACACATTAATAAAAGGAGAAAAGAGCCTGCTAGAACTCAGAAATATTTCAGACCTGGAAAAATGATGTTGATCTCATAGTTAAGCAATGTGGGCCTTCTCTTAAGAAATGCAAATGTCAATCACAGTGTTATTCCTGCATTTGAGAGAAGGGGGTGGAAATGGACACAAATTTAGAAGGTATCAAATACAAATGGGGAGGGAAATACTTGAAGAACTGATAGGTCTTATTGTATAAAAATAGGAGAAGTTGATGTTCATGCTAGTGTGGAAGCAGGAAAGACCAGCCCAGGGTCAGAAACCTAACACTCAGTGAAAAAACATGTAACCATGTGAGTGAAAATTTTAACTTTTCCCTGGGTACCAACTTAGGCTGGGAAATACTTGAACAAGTGCATCTTTTTAGACATCTCTGGGTGAGATTTATTCAGTTAAGGAAGAACGTCGAAGAGCTCTACTCTGGTCTGAAGAATCCCTAGTGAAACATAGAGTGCTCTGGATCCACCACCACCTTCTGCACCCAGCATCTGGCCTGCTGGAGGACAAGTGCTTTGCACAGCTCATGATTCCCAGTACTAGCAATTGGCTAGCAGAATAACTAGCATGAATGGTGATTGAGGGCACCTCCACTGCTGGACAGGGTCACCATGCCCTTCATAAAAGAGGCCCGCAGTGAGCACCTCACACCACTGCCATCTGCACTATACTGGCTTGAACTTCTAGAGTGCCCATACTTCCATGGTTTGCAGAGACACTGGGTGTTTCTAACTACACCATGGTATGGCTTCTAACCAAAGTCATGCATCACAGCCAAAGAAGCTAAGAGCCTGTGCTATGATCCTGGCCAGAAACTAAGTCAACACTGCATTATGAACTGACCTGCCCAGGCATATCTTCATGAGAAATGCACTGACCAAGGTGGCACCCCAGAGAAAAGGTGGAGATAGGGACCCACCAGACCTGCACATATCAGTGTGGATGCTTGAAGAATATGAAAAACAATATAACAGGATGACTCCAAAAATACAGTAACTGTCTACAATAACCCCAAGGAAACCAATATGATTAAAATATCTGAAAAACAGATATTTTTTCAATCAAAGTAGGGAAACAATAAAGGCTGTAAAATGAGGACTGCCTAGAAAGTACAAGGTCCTGAGTCTGCTTCCTAGGTTTTTAAAAAATGGCAGATTAAGAAAAAAAAAAAACCACAGAAATCTTAGAAATAAAGAGCTCAGTAAGTCACTTAAAAGTTTGAGAGCCCCCCAAATACTATAAATTAAAAAGTAGAAACACTAACTTTGAAGACATGTCAGATAAAATAAAAAAGAGGAAAGCAAAGAAGAAAAATGAGAAGGAATAAAGAAAACATTGGGACACCATTAAATAAGCCAATAATCATAATCATATTTTTGATTATAGGAAAACAAAGGAGAAAAATATTAAGGGCCTAGAAAGTCTCTGTAATGAAATAATGTCAGACACCTTTGCTAATTATGTAAAAGATAGGAATATCCATGTACAGAAGGCTTACAGAATATAAAGTCAAAGTCTGTTCATCATGGCATATTACAATCAAACTGTCAAAAGTACAAGACAAAGAATTCTAAAATCTGCAAGAGAAAAGTGCCAGATCACATATAAGGGCATCTTCATTGGACTAGCAGTGTGTTTATGGCCTCTGGGGTTAAAGAGGCTCTTACAGCAAAAGAAGGTGTCTACAAGTTTACAGATGGCCCTAGGAAGATGTTCCCAAGCACTGGCAAACACTAGAGCAGGAGCTTCTTGAAGGTTAGCTCAGGTTCTTTTGGTCTCTGTCCTTGAAGTGAAAGGAAACATCTTGGATTGAAACAATTTTCAATCTTAAGTCTAAGAGGAGATAAAAAGTATGAAGGAATGTGGGCCAAATAGCTGAGCCATGCAAGAAGAACTCAAGATTTGGCCTCCTCTGGTAATTCTCTCCTGGGGAGGAGGAGCCCATACCACGGAGCCAGGCTAGGTGGAGTCCCTCAGTTCCTGAAGGGATTGGAAAAGAGTTGTGAAAGAGGGCAGGTGAATAGGATTGGACTTCTAGTAGGAGGTTAAAAGGAGAGAGAGTTTTATTTGTGTGAGTTGTGTGGTTCCTTTTAATTTCCTATGTCATTTACACAGTGGGTGAAGTAGGCACTGGAGGCCTTTTATGATGGCCTGCAAAGTGACATCTTCTGACCCTGACAAACTAGGTAAGAGACCTGTCCACTTTATAACCCCACTTACCAAGGTCAGTGCCTACAGAAACTTGAGAATAATCCCAGGCTAGAAATAAAATCATACTATTTTAGGAATAGCATTTTAATTTTAACTTTTAATTGACTTCCTGAGCTCTTTATTTCTAAGATTTCTGTATTTTCTTTTCTTAATCTGCCATTTTTTAAAACTAGGAAGCAGACTCAGGACCTGGCACTTGCTAGGCAGGCCTCATTTTATAGCCTTTATTGCTTCCCTACTTTGATTTGATTGCTTCTTTCTATTCTTATGTCTTTTATAATCATTCTTTTAAATTATTTTTCAGATATTTTAATATGTGAAAAATAGTATGTCCCTCACTCTCCTTCTTTCTAGCATAATACCAGGAACTTCAGACAATAACATGAAAGGATATTGGTTGAAAGGAAGAAGGGAAACTACCTTTTTGCAGATGATGTCATACTGTGTATAGGAGATCTTAGGAAAACACACACACACACACACACACTCACGCACGCACACACACACACACACACACACACAATGGAACCAGTGAGTTCAGTAAAATGATATATTTCTATTAGCTGCTCTGAACAGTCCAAAATTGAAACGAAGAATAAGTGATTTTATTTACAAAGGCAAAAATTGAATAAAACATAAGGAATAGATTTAATTACAGAAATCAAAATATCTACACTGAAAACTATAAATGTCATGGAGAGAAATTAGAGATTCAGATAAATAGAAAGACATTCCATGCTTATGGATTGGAAAATGGCAAATTGTTGAGAATTTACAAATTTACTCAATTGTCCATGTGAAAAGGGTGAGACTATGGAGTGTGAGCTAAGTACACATATAACATATGTTTCAAGGGTGGCAGAAGGAATCTACTCACCTGTACTTGCACCTGGTGCTGCTGAAGCAGCTGGAGGCAGCCCCGGGGTGCCTGTGCTGGCTGTTCCTAGTTGGGGAAGATACGCCATCGTTATTAGTCATGGACTCATCTCACTTGTCAAGCAACAAATAAAAGTCAGTCAGACTTGGAAGGGGGACAGGATCCTACTACAGAGGGGCTGGCTTAGCTTTTGACTCTTCAATGTTTCCATTTTCCAGCTCCTTTTTGTCCTAAGAGGAATGTTGAGTGCTTGGGTGGGTGGCCTTATTTTAAACATCTTTGTGTGTGCGCGCGCGCACACACACACACACACACACACACACTCATGTATGTGCACAGTGCACACACACAAGGATTTTTGGATGATAGATCCTCATTGTAACCTTCTCTTGACTACTACCTGGGTTTCATTGAACATGCAGAAAAGTATTGCAAAACTCTAAGCTCCAACCACCTGAAAGCATTTTATTTTTCCCTGTGGAAGAAAATGTAGTTTGACAGGATTGGGGAATATCATTTGATGATATGAATTGTGTGCTATTTTGTTAATTTGGTAGTGAAAATTCAAAATAAGCATAAGTCATAAAAAAACTTGCTCACTTTTTTTCATTTATTCATAAGACATTTTTCAAATTCCTCTTCTGTGCTGGCATCTTCTAGATTCTTGAGGGCAGTGTGTGGCTTTTAGTATCTTTTTAATCCAAATAATATCAAGAATAATTCCTGACATTTAGTAAATATCATTTTACATAAAAGGACACTGAGGACATGAAGATCAACAAAGAAAAAGATCTTTTTGCCCATTAAAATCTATCTTACGTGTACATTATTGATAAGCACAACCCAGCAGTTTGATTCATATTCTGTAAAAACATTCTCTTATTTCTTATACCTCAGAATAACAACTTTTTGCAGCACTGGGGAATTAGGGAATAATCCAGGGTGCTATACACCTGAGATACATTCTTATTCCTTTTTATTTTTAAATAAATTGCCCATGCTAGCCTTAAATTCCAATCCTCCTGCTTCCACCTTCCAAATAGCTGGATCTATAGGTGTGTATAACCACACACCCAGAACTTGGAACTTGTTTATGATGAGGCTTCAATCCTCTGTTTACCATGACATTGAAAAATCCAGGTTCTTATATTTATGCAGACCACATTAGGCATTAACTATCTGTCTCCAGGAAGTTAGCCTAATGCTTTAAAATCCCACTCCAGAGGGGCGCTTCACAGGTGATCCGGTGGAGGAAATCAAAGGACATCAAGGGTCCACATGGGGAGGGCAGTTTCTTCTGCTGCCTGCCCCATGCCAGTTGCATGTGAAGCTTAGATTGTCTTAGCATTGGGAAGAGATGTCTCAATGGCTTTTTAAAAATTTTTTCTTTTTTTTTCCTCAATGGCTATTGAAGAGAAATTAACTTGGGGAGCACTGAAAGCTCGAACTTCTTGACCTCTCCTGGGTCCTACATGCTCACATTTTAAATGCCAACCAAGGAAATCTTAGCACTCATGTCCAGGTGGGACATTCTGTTGTGCCTCCTCATGGATGTCAACCTTTTGTGTGAGGACCTAGGCATATGAATGAAATGTCCCCTCTGGCCAGAGAGAGTGCCTCTCTTCCCAGACAACACTTCCTTGGAGCTCTTGGCACCAACAGCAGAAGGATGAGACTCTTAACATCACCTTCTCACTGTCCCCTGCTGGCCTCTGCCCAACACATGACTTGAAGATTAGGACCCATGGAGTCAGGGAGATGGTTCAGTAGGATAAGCGCTTAACTAGCAAATGCAAGGATCTGAGTTGAATCCTTGGTTCCACAAAAAA